AATTAGTCATCCTATTTTCTTTTTAAAAATACGGACAGTGCAAATTGAGGTTTTTTTAGGACCGTAGTATCATATTACAAATAAGCACCTTATTAATATTATGCATATGTAAGGATTTATTTTGGTTGAAGATTTAACATAACATTTCTTGAACTCTCAAAAGTGCTTNTTAGGCAAAATTAGGGGAATGTCATTGTGCGAACACATCAGAGAAGACGCACAATTAAGCAGTGCTTTAGATACAGGTAGTATACTAAAGTTATAGGTAGAAGCAAGGTATTGTTACTCACTCAAAGATGAACCTTAAAAAAATGAAAACATTTCTTGTTTGCTGCTTGATTTTAATAATCATTTGCACTGTCTCATCATTGCAAGAAGATGTCAAATCTATCATTAAGACAATAGCAGGTCAAGGCGTATGTGATGGTATATCAGCAACCTCAGCTTCATTGAATGGTCCATCGTCCACTGCAATTAATTCATTGGGTGAGGTATATATTGCAGATAAAAGTCATCATAGAATTCGTAAAGTTTATAATAATGGTACAATAGTTACAATTGCAGGAACAGGTATTGCAGGATATAATGGTGATGGTATTGATGCAACAACAGCTCAATTGTTTAGTCCATATGGTATTGGTATTGATTCTAAAGATTTGGTGTATTTTTCTGATTCTAGCAATCATAGAATTCGTAAAATACTTTCGAATGGTACTATTGTAACAATTGCAGGTATAGGCTCAAACGGTTTTTCAGGAGATGGTGGTTTGGCAACGAAGGCTAAAATTTATCTCCCCTTTGGTCTTACTATTTCTCCTAATGATGATGTAATTTTTGCTGATGTTAATAACAATAGAATTAGAAAGATTTCTGCTACTTCTGGTATTATTACTACAATTGCTGGAAATAATAATCAAGGTTACAATGGTGATAACATTCAGGCTACAAGTGCATATTTGTATCTTCCATATGCATGTGCAGTTACTCCATCCGGTAAACTTATTATTTCTGATTCGAATAATAATAGAATTAGAACGGTTAATTTGAATGGAGTTATAACAACCAATGCTGGTATTGGTAGCAATGATCCAGGATATAATGGAGATTACATTAATGCAACAAGTGCTAAAATCAATACCCCTGCTGGTGTTTCTGTTGCTACTAACAATGAAGTTTACTTTGTTGATTCACTGAATAATAGAATACGTAAAATACTTTCTAATGGAACTATCATTACAGTTGCAGGAACTGGTAACTCTAAGTACAATGGTGATTATCAATATGCAACAAATGCCAATTTGAATTATCCATTGGGTGTTTTGATTACACCTAATGGAGAAATGATCATTCAGAAACAT